AGTTGCGAGCGCCGTAAAACCCTATACTACTACTACAAAGATTTTAAATTTTAATGATGGTCATTGCAATCAAAAAATCAAATCTTTAGATTAGGTTCTCTATAACCTAAGATGCCTATGAAGTACCTCCACTTAAGAAAATGTATATAAAAAAACACCCCCCAAAAATGAACAAGCAAACAAAAATTAAAACCAACAAGTCCCTTAAAAATAGATAAAAAATGAAATGAAATAGAATAATCAAACATTAAAAGGCAAACAGAGAAAGAGACACAGATAGAGAGAGAGGGAGAGAGAGAGAGAGAGAGAGAGAGAGAGAGAGAGAGAGAGAGAGAGAGAGAGAGAGAGAGAGAGAGAGAGAGAGAGAGAGAGAGAGAGAAATACATGTAATAAAAAGTTAGTGGGGAATGCCATAAAGTCTTTTGGTCACACATACAGCCTGCTGACATACAATACTTAATGCAGACTGCCGCAGAAGATGAACGTAACAAACCATAGTACTACATGTAGGCCCATATTGTATATTATTATGCAGTTTATATGTACCTGAAGCAAGAGAGAATTGCAAGTGACGGCATTGATGTATATGGTTAGTACCAAACAACACACTCATGCTTCAAGTCTCAGTAGATCTCATTTCCTTTGTACACAGAAAAAGACAAATATATGTATTGTAGTCTATGCTCTTTTTTTACTTTTAGCTAAGACTTTTATTTGCTGTGTGATGCAATCCAAAATAAAGGTCTATTGTGCACACTTTTTCTGTGTTTTTAATTTGCCGGGTTTTTTTTTTTATTTCGTAAGGAAATGTTTCAATATTAAGTCTTGTCTTTAAACGTTACTGCCCTGTTGTAAACAACTTTCGTATGTCCATTCATGCTGCGGTTTTCTCCCTTAGCTTTTAATCTAGGTAATGATATCAGGTCGTTGGTTTGATCAGCTGGCGGAATCTGGATAATAAGCCAGGTAAGCCACCATATATTATATAAAGTACAAAAAATCCCCACCAATTTTGTATCTGATCTATATCTACGTTTCACAAGCTTTTCTATTAGATTTATAGTTTTAGCGATGTGATATTTAACTAGTAAGGTGGTCTTGAAAAGTATCCGTATAACATGATCGTAGATCTATCTCTTTCAACTGTGTAATGCACAGACCAAAGGTCTACATACAACTTGTAACTTCCGAATATTTATAGGCAACCCGGCATAAGCTCTGGAATGTTAGAAATTGAAGTGCTGAAACTGGTAGATAGTAGACGTTGGTATTTATTTTAGTAAATGGGGGAAGTGCATAGTGACACTCGGCGTCGCCCGAGGAGCTCATACTCATGAGTTTGACTGAAGTCTTTGGAACAAAAATAAATTATCACTGCGATGATATTAACACTATTGCTTATTTTAGCTTTGAATAACCTAATGCAATCTTTGTTTCATTAAATAATGGAGAAGTATGAGAAAATAAGGGTAGTAGGACGTGGAGCCTATGGGTAAGAAACTTTCTCACTTTACTTTAGTCTTAGATTCTACTTGCTAGATCTAGATCTAGATCTACATCTACATCTAGAAATCTAGGAGGCTTCTCTGTCTCGAGTCTCAAATACCAGTCCTTTCGTCACACGGTCATTTCGTCACACGGGTGCAGTCAAGACATCACAGTGATCCTGTAACACTCCAAATCCACAAGGTTGAATCGAGACAGTCATTTCGTAGCACAACATGCAAAGAAAGTGGCTATTCTCACCCGCCCGGAATTTCTCGCAAGATCAACTCCTCCCCTCTTCTCTCTCTCTCTGTCTCTTTCTGAATACTGTCTATCGGTGTGGACGATCAAATTGACCAAAACAAAGTTAAAAAATGATGTTAAAACACAAAAGTAAATAAATTTGGTTGTCTACAAAGATGCTACGGCTATTTAACTTTTCGAATCGAGCCGAACTACGCGGGTCGCCGTTTTGTTTTGCCCAGAAATTCTCGCGCTACTCCTCTCTCTCTTTCTCTCTCTCTCTTTCTCTCTCTCTCTCTCCACTGCCCACAGACAAAATTGTACGCCTTTAGTAGGCTACAATTGTAATGGAACGTTTGTTCACGGCACAGAATTCTACAATTTTTCTGTTATCACAGTGTAGAATTCTGTGGTTTAGGGTGAACGCAAAATTTGGTGAACGCGCACTGGGTGAGAATAGCCACAAGACTCGCCTGCACTATTCTCACTCCGGGTGAGAATAGAGGTGGCCACATGCAAACATCAAACGTGCATAGTGCATTGTCATGGCAATCACAAATCACGATTTTTTTTTTAAAATTGGGGGGGGGGGAGGCGGCGGCTGTGCGAGTTGCCGTGCCTACCTGATCAGCTACACCATTCATTAATACGTATTGACAATATTGAAATCGGGAGGACTTCCGTAACGAGCGACCACTATGAGACAGAGCAGAATTGAGGGGTAGGCAGGGTTAGGGTTAGGCTCAGATTAACAAAGTTTTTAAGTATTATTGATGAAAGGTGTGATAGGCAAGGCCATATATAATTTTAGTTCTGATAAAAATAAATTAACTAATTGAAGTGTACGGTACGTACTGTGATTTTGCTAAAAGTTAGATCCTTACTTTTAAACATAAAGCCTTAATTAACTCTTTACCAGACATTGTAACTGTTTTTGCCTTTTATTTAAACAACTGTTCATCTATGGAACAGTTTGGACGAAGATTTTATTTACATTAATTATTTATATAATTAAAAAAAAGCTTTAGGCTAATCCTCGAAAACTCAACTAGCATTATATATATAACAATTTTGGAGAGATAGGCCTAGATCTATATATCTAGCATCTGCGTTTGTCGCGGCCGCGATTTTTTGCATTTTTCCAAAAACCACACCGCCGCGGAAGAAAAAATTTTAAAAAACGGGGTATAAAAAATGAAAAAGAAACCCATTCCCCCCTCCCCCTCTTGAAATCAGAAATTTGAGATAAAAAATGTAGTCTAACCTAAGTTTGTCTGGAACATTTTTGCATAATTTCCAGACTCCTTTACTTTTTCAGGACTTGAATTGTATTCAGTTCACTTTCAGAATCTATTTGCTTTGATGATGGCTTAAATATTCTTTTTCAACATTACTGTCACTGTATCTTTCTTCACTGTCAGATGTGACTGTGATGGCCACAGCTTGATCTAGTACTAGTAGCCTACCTTTTTAAAAATTTAAACTGGGCCTGGCATCCTCTTCTACTTCAGGCCCAAGAGTCTATGTTTCTCCCTCTGATCGAGAGCCATCATTACTTTATTATTCTTCTTTCACTGCTGAGGATAGAGACTGACTGTTTGAGTAATTTTAATGTCATTTATCTATATATGCTAGATGAAAACGCTTGCATAAAACTGAAGATCTATATAATAGGCAGTAATCATAAATGGTCTGCTGGATACCGAAAGGACAATACAGACTTCCTCATAAAAAAGCTGAATGAAAACTGTATATCCTCGGCCACATGATATAATGTCACAACCCCCCAAAAAATATTTTTATTGGAGTTTCTTAAACTGTGGTGTCAGTTGCGTGTGCTCAAGAAATATTTGGTCGAAATTCAAATTCTGAATGTTGAAAAAAGCAAAGAAACACAATATGCCATGCCCACAGGCCGTCAAATTACCTGTGCTCCAAGATCAAGCTACGCTCTGCTGGGCAGCATAGGTCATGGCCACGCGGTCAGGTGGCGGGTCCACCTAAATGTGCTTGTCCAGACAAAAGTTTGCGTCTAAGACTGAGATATTTATGATGTTGTGTCTTAAAGGTGCCGAAACTATGTCCATATGTGGGCCAGCTGTTGTTGACAAAGGGGTAATAATTTATAGCAGTGTTAAGGCTTTTGAAGGTGATCCTGGTTCTGAGCAGGAGAGGGTTAATCTATGATGGGCTTTTACACCACCCATTAAAGGGAAAGATACCGTATCATCGTTACATTATAATACACAAATCATTCTAATCTTAGAATTTCTTCATAGTCTTGGTTTGTTGGGTTTTTTCGCCTTCGTAATTGACTTCGAAACTCCGCCAGGAGGTGGAGTTAAACAAGTCATTAGTTTGAAAAGACAAATTAAAAAGCTCTGATCCCACATTATTTTTTTTATTTTTTTTGGGGGGGGGGGTAGCAATTTGACTGATTAGTAGTTATCGCCTTACAGTTGCAACAGCAGAAAGAACATCCTGAGAATAACAATGAAGTACTTAATTTACAAACGTCAAACCTAATCAACCCAAAGAAACAACAAATCATTGAGGTCAACTTCACACTCTGATAGAGCAGAAGAGTCCAAAATATTCTTGAATGAAAATTTCTACTTTGTCTCCCAAAAGTTCCCAGTCATTATTGCAGACAGTACCTAAGTTGTACAGTGGGTGTCTCATTCAACGAGGTTGCCGGGACCGGCTTGTTGTCCTCGTTGAATCCGACTTCTCGTTGAACGAGATTAAGGCTTAAGAAAAGAAAGGAGGCAAGTTATTATATTACACGATGTACCAATACCAGTAATTAAAACAGTTGTTCCCCCTGATGACAAAAATCTCAAACAGCATCAGTGTGCGCGTGTTTGAGCTGTATTCTGGCCGTCATTTCTGCATTTAAAAATTATCTTTTTTCCGGAACACTTTTCATGTGAAAACATACCCTCTCACATCTAGAGCCAGATCTACGCGCTACATGAAGTGAAGGCGGGAGCTTTGATTTTTTTTAAAGAGGAAGAAGAAAAAATTGAAAAAATTGAAAAAAATGAAGGTCTTGATCTAGACCTACCCATCCAGAGTTCATCCAGTTTCACACAGCCCGCATCGCATTCCCACCCACCCCCTTCTATCCCTACTGTAGGCTAACCCTCACCCATCCTCTTGGCTTTGGGGCCCGTATTAGGAGGCACACTAGATCTAGCAATACAATGTGTTAGGAAACGAAAATGGACCTTGTCACTTGTGTGGTTCGTATGAGATGGAGAGAAAGGAAAAAAATCTTCACTTTTGGGGCCGCGAATTGTATGTTTCCACACGAGAAGTGTTCCGGAAAAAAAAGTATTTTAAAATGCAGAAATGACGGTCAGAACACAGCTCAAACACGCGCACTTTGATGCTGTTTGAGATTTTCGTCATCAGGGGGAACAACTGTTATAATTACTGGTATTGGTACATCGTGTAATATAATAACTTGTCTCCTTTCTTTACTTTAACCTTTGTCACGTTCAACGAGAGGTCGGATCCAACAAGGACAACAAGCTGGTCCCGGCAACCTCGTTGAATGCGACACCCACTGTACAACGTATCAAAGTAAAAAAGGGATCGCACAATGTGCATAGCCAATTATCTCATTACAAAATCGCCTTTTCACAAAATGACTCGTCTCAACCAACCAGTAATGCCTCTCCTATCTTTCATGGTCAATTTCAAAATGCACATGTATTTTTTTAAGAATCAAACAGTTTTTTCTTTCTCCTGAAAAATTTTGGTTTTAGGGCTTGTGACATTGTATCATGTGGCCAATGATATGGAATTTGTGCTTGTCAGTCCTGCAGTGGCCACAATTCAATACCAAAGTCCTTTTAAAATTAAGATAAAAGTTTTTTTGGTAAGCGATTTACAGCGCTCATAATTCTATGTTAACGTCACAGGTGCTTTTCATGAACAATACACCAGCTCTGCAACTGAGAAGAAACAAAGGGCCCTAAATTGGCTCATATTGAATACAGTTGCCTGTCTACTTTTACTTAAATTTACCTTTTGTGTGTAAGATTCTTTCATTTGTTTGGTTTGCTATCACTATCATAAGTTGATAGGTCAAACACATCATGCTGATCTTTGATTATTTGGCAGAACTGTACATTTATGTATCCGCCTGAGTGACCGGAAGCAAGTAATTATCAAGCAAATCCCTGTAGAACAAATGACAAAAGATGAACGACAGGCTGCTCTAAATGAAGTGAAAGTGCTCTCTATGCTTCATCATCCAAACATTATTCAATACTATGAGAACTTTTTGGAGGACAAGGCTCTTATGATTGTTATGGAGTATGCACAAGGTAAAATTCATGTTTTGTTTTTTAAGTATTTCAATTTTTACAGAGTTATACAGACTTCAACATAAGTTAAGGACCACCTTGACAGACAGCCCTGATTTTTAATAAATTGGGGAAAAAATACATGTACAGCAAGGAAAGTTTCAAAAATTGTTTTGCTCTGAAAGTGTTAATTGGTTACCAATGCGTACCGCAAAGCTTCCTAAAGGGGCAAAACCACCACATGCAGCACGAAAATCCTCAGGGATTTTAAGCCAAATTTGCTGTTTTTTATCGACTTGTGTGCAATATCACGCACATTCCCAAGTTAAAATTTCTGGTGCACGTCACAAATGAAGGTACGGTCTAAAACTGTGCTCACTTTGGTGGCAATGTAAGCCGACATTTGCGCAAAATCCAGTATCGCATCAACGTGCCACCAAGACGAAAGCTGAGAGACTTTAATCATGCCTGAGCTATGGCATGGCTGCAGGATAGAGTTGGAGCCCGATAAGTTGCCAGAAGGCTTGCAGTGTCACTCTTTGTCACTGTGCCCTTGAGGCAGCGCCATCAAGCCACTGGATCAGTCCAAGAACGTCCATGTGCAGGTCGACTCAAGAAGACCACTCAGAGTGTTTGCAAGTGGTCCCTAACTTATGTTGAAATCTGTATGTCTGTCCTGGTGGTTTTATGCACCCCACATAATTTAGCAAAATTTGATCATTTTTGCTTAATTTCTGATTATTTCCCTTTATCATTCTTTGTTGAAATTAACAGAATCACATAATTTCACTTTTTGGGGCTCAGTTTGCATAATTTCAGAATTTTTCTTGCATAAAACAACGGGGACAGGTATGTGTGAGTTCTCAACATTGTCAATATAGACAATTCAGAGAAGTTACAAGGAGGTATCCCGATATCCTCATATGTAGGTTTCTCAATTGCATCCTGTCTTAAGAACTTCAGTTGGGATTTTACGCTCTTTGTGCGGTGTGCCACTTATATTTTCCCAGAAAACTTATATCAAACTGTCTGTTCATATATATATA